ATCGGAATATAAATCATATTCTTGATAAAAAATATATTTTAAACCATTATGAATATTTATGAGTTATCTAATAGAAAATAAAAATAATTAAAATACTATATATTTAAATCATAAAAGAGTAAAATTTTATGTTAATAACCTCATTAAAACTATAAATAATGTTGTGAACCATCACTTAAGTACATGATTGATAATTATATTTTATTAATGTCATTGTTTTATTTCTCATGGAGATTTATACTCGCCAAACTTTATACAATATTAACTTAATATTAAATATAATATTATTATTTTTTAACTTATATAAAATTTTAATATAAACACCTGGAGAGTACCAATAACGTCATTGGTAAAAAAAAAATATATCTTTGTGATATTCTATAACTCTATATTGATAAAATAAGTATTCTTATAGATTATTTATTTATTTTATTTTTGCATGATTGTGTATATATATATACTTTTAAATTGAGGTTTATATAACCTTTCTAACTTTTTTTTTAATTTAAATACTTTTTTTATCATTCGTCTTTTATTTATTTTAATTGATATTTTTATTCTGTTTGTATTATTTGTTTCTTTTATGACTTATGTCATGTCTATATTTCATCTTAATTTTTGCTTCTTAATTAGGATGGATAATGTTAGAAATTTTATTTTTTATTATTTGATTAGTAACTTGGCAATTACGTTACTTTTTCTTAATTAATTTTAAATTTTAACACATCCATCATCTAATCAATACTAGATACATGTCGTAATCTCGTGAGTTATAATTTTGCTTACGTGTCATACTTATATAAAAATGCATTGCGATAAATACTTTTGATTTTAAAATTTATAAAGCCTATATTTTGACAAATGTAATTAGATTCTAAATTACCACTCACACAAATATCTAGTATTTATTTTATTATAATATTTTATTAATCGTCAATTTGTTTAATTTATATCATACTTAAATTGTCTCATATAAGTTATTATATTAGCAAAATGACACTTATAATATGACATCTTTTTTGTCTTTAAAAATGCATTGCGGTAAATACTTTTGATATTAAATTTTATAAAACCTATAATTTGACAAATGTAATTAGATTCTAAATTACAACTCGCACAAATATTTAATATTTATTTTAGTATAATATTTTAATAATCGTCAATTTATTATATTTATCTCATACTAAAATTGTCTCATACACGTTATTATATCAGCAAAATGATACTTATAATATGATATCTCCATTTATCTTTAACTATTTAGATAATTTGAAATGGAAAGAATGTATTTTGTAATATAACAATTTAGAAATATTATCTATTTTAGTATGACGGTTTTTTTTGTTAATTAATCCATAATTCTTGTTTTGAATATATTTCTTATTTTCTTTTTAAAAACTTTTATTAATATTGACATATCTCGCAATCTAAATTAACAATTACATATATCGTAATCTGGTGAGTTATAATTTTGCATACATGTCGTACTCTCATCGCGCGCATCATCCTTTATATAATAAGATGTGTCGGTCCATTGATATATTAAAAAAAATTATATAAAACATTTTAAAAACTTCTGTGATGTTTTTGGAATCTAAATGTAATTTTGTATAATTTACATAAAATTAAATTTTTCATTGATTTATTTACAATATGTTGGTACTAATTTTTATTTTTATTTTTCCAGCCAATTTATGATAGTTCGTCATGTTCGTCGAAAATCGGTTGGAAATTCATCCTACGAAAATCGTTGAAAAGTGGTGGGAATTTTCTCACGAGTTTTCAACAGTAAATTTTCAATGGAATTAGCGACCGAACTCTGTCGTCTGTAGTATATGGAAAATTTCAAACAGATTTCTAACCGATCATAAAATTCTTATGTTCTATGAACGACGGACAAATCCGTTGGAAATGGCTATTTCCCATAGATTTCCAACGGTTTTGTCTGTTTGAAATTACCTTTTTTTGTAGTGTTGTTGTGGTATCTTCAAAATCTACCCATTTCAAACAGAATTTTGGGGTTGGAAGACGATGCCTCATTAATGTATGAAGTGTCATGCATGATATAGTGATTTAAGTTTTTTTTTTTTTTTGACAATAATGATAGTGATTAAGTTGCTTGTTGCTTTCTTATGAGTTATGAGTTACGTTTATTGTATCTATTGATGATAATGTCACTCTACAGAAATCTTAATCTTTTCTATCTCTATAGATCACTCCTCTCATTTTTCGGTATTCATATCTTCAATATATACAAAAGATTTAAGAAGAATAATTTTGACTGATATAACCCCGTTTTTATACTCTTTTGACTCTGGTTTTCAAGTCTTGTATAAGTGTTTCTACTCGATTTTCATAGTATTTTAGGTGATTTTCAAGTATTTGTAGTGTCAAAAGTACTTACATGTAATTTAGGCAAAAATAATTAATTTCAAAACAAATTGAACCGACTTACAGTTGATTTTAAATCGGTTGTATAGTAAAATACTTTTTATGTCATTGGATTCGTTAATCAAGAAATATATAAGGAGCATCGATTTTTATTTTATTTTATCTCTTATAGCAACAACATCGATAATTAGGTTCAGAATGACGAAAACAATCTCCACCTAAGAACCCTTTTGTTATACAATCCCTTTGGCATTCATAACCTCCGTACCATCCGGTCTCAGTCCGTCCACATTGCTGATCAAGGCAGTTTAGTGGCGCTGCACACTTCCAATCATACATGAATTATTGTTTTATTTATGATATGTATATTCACAGAATGTACGAATTATATATGATTTTTAGGAAAATGTTATTCAACTGTTGTTGTTAATAATTTTCAAAAAAAAAGAAAAAAAAGTATTATTGTTAACATGTTGATAAAAAATGATTAAAAAATTTATCTTATAAAAAACAACATACGTTCGGAGGCCGAAACGTCATTCTTTGACAATGAAACTGCCAACATTACTACAAGAAAAAATGTTGCAAAATGTTTTGAGATACTCATTTTTTTGTAGTATTATTTGTATTGTTAAAATAGAGATGTTTTTATAATATTCATGAAGAGCTCTATTTATATGATGACTTTTTCTCTGGAAAAGTATGAACCTCATACTTTTACTATTGTAATATAGTTTTTACGGTAAATAAATCTTTCATATTTACTAATAAGATTTTATGCAAAGATATTAAAAAAAAGATTTCTATATTTGCATGGTTCAAATCAATATGTATCATACTTGTTTGGCAATATTTCATGGAAATGTTATTACAGTCAAAGTTGACTAATGCAAACTTATCGTTTGCTTTCTTTTAAAC